TAATATAGTATGTTATAAGTTATACGATTTCCCATTTGGATTGCAACTATAATGTAAACATCAAGCCCTATGACGTGTTCTCCACCCTTAATAGCCACCTGTCAAGCTCATAACGCTTCGATTTCATCTTCCCGAAATGACAGTACCCCTGATCAGCAGATCTGATACGATGTCGTTTTCTTTCTGCAGATAACGATGACAGATCATTTCCCTTCACAGCGCCACTGCCATATCGGCCGTACACCATATTCTCGACACAAAGCTCTTCCTGTCATGCCCGTTTTCTTCCACAAACCCTAACTCGCTCTTCCTGATTCAGTCATCAATGGAGATCAAGCATTCGCTTAATGGCGAGGCGACTCACCGCATCTTGAAGAGGCCCAGAGTTACCCCTCGATTCTTATCGGAATCCGAAATTCGAGAGGAATTCTCTCACCACCAGTCCGGCGTCGCCCGAATTAACAACGGGAGTTACGGGAGCTGTCCTGGTTCTGTGCTCGCGGATCAGAGGCGGTGGCAGCTGAGGTTTCTCCAGCAGCCGGATGATTTCTGCTTCAACACTCTCCGTAAGGGGATCCTAGCGTCGCGGACTCTCATTAAAGACCTAATCAACGCCGACCATGTTGATGAGGTTTCCCTCGTCGACAACGCTACAACTGCTGCTGCTATCGTGCTCCAGCAGATTGGCCGTGGGTTTGCGGAGGGGAAGTTCCAGAAGGATGATACCGTTTTGATGCTCCACTGCGCGTTTCAGGCCGTGAAGCAGTCGATTCAGGCTTACGTTACCCGCGCTGGTGGGTCGGCAGTTGAGGTTCGGTTACCATTTCCGGTGAAATCAGAGGAGGAAATCATTATGGAGTTCAGGAAAGCTATAGAAAAAGTGAAATCTGATGGTAGAAGAATTAGGTTAGCTATTATTGATCATATAACGTCAATGCCGTCTGTTGTGATTCCGGTACGGAAATTAGTCGGTATTTGCAGAGAGGAGGGTGTGGAGCAGGTTTTTGTTGATGCAGCACATGCAATTGGTAGTGTTAAAGTAGATGTGAAAGAAATTGGAGCTGATTTTTACGTTAGTAATTTACATAAATGGTTCTTTTGCCCACCTTCGGTTGCGTTTCTGTATTGTAAAAACACCAATTCATCATCGGATTTGCATCACCCTGTGGTGACACATGAGTACGGCAATGGCTTGCCAATTGAAAGTTCGTGGATTGGGACGAGGGATTACAGTTCCCAGCTAGTGGTGCCCTCAGTTTTGGAGTTTGTCAATAGATTTGAGGGTGGAATGGAAGGAATAATGAAGAGTAACCATGAGGAAGTGGTGAAGATGGGGAAGATGTTGGCAGAGGCTTGGGGCACCAACCTTGGGTCACCACCGGAGATGTGTGCGGGGATGATTATGGTTGGGCTGCCTTCCAGGCTTTGCATTACCAGTGAGGAGGATACGGTGAGGTTGAGGTCGCATTTACGAGATTGCTATGGTGTTGAGGTTCCTATTTATTACCAAGGTGTGAAGGACGGAGAGATGGGAGTAAGGGATAAGAATGGGTTAATAACAGGGTATGCAAGGATTTCTCATCAGGTTTATAACAAATTGGAGGATTATGAAAAGTTCAGGGATGCTATTAATCAGCTAGTTGAGGATGGAAAAGTTTGCAAAATGCTTTTGACGCAATGAAGAGGTAAGCTTTCAGTGTCTCTTGGTTAGTTGTGTTAAGAAGCACTCTTTTATGTTCACTGCAATTGCTGCCATTTTTTTTTTCTCTGGAGGTAGAGCGTCTTTTGTCTTATCTTTCTTAATACATATTTCTTTGCCCTCTAGAAAGAAAATAGCTCTGCTCTAAGGTCATGCGAATGACTAAACTTCTTTTCTCCACATGGCATTAAAGATCAGCTTTTTACATTAAGTTGGCCTCTTGTTATGTTTGTTGCATTGCCAGCAAGCTCTGTCAATGTTTTACATGTTTGCCTAATGGTTTTAGAAGCATTGCAACTTTAAGCTTACTTTTCATGTCATGATTTCTATTCTATAGAAGTGGTTAAAGACAATAATATGCAGAGATAGGAAAGGCATTTCTGTTTTCAGTTTAATGTTTATGATATTAACATTTTTCATTGGTCAACCAGTTTGTAACCTAGCAAATAACAATTCTAGTTCTGTGCCTGCTCTAGTATCTGGTTGACTATGATTGGTGTCCCTAGTTCCTTTATACATAATTTTATGTTTTATATTGACTAATGTTTTTTGCCATCATATATTGACTATTTTGATTACTTGATTACATAATTTTTTGTTTTATATATCAACTTTGTTGATCATGTGATCCCATAACTGGACTATGAAGATTTAAACAAAGATCTTGTCAAAAGAATGGGTAGGGTGGCCTCTTAAAATATTAGGGGTTGTAAATATATTAGAACTGGTTAGTCTGTGGATTTGGACCATTTGGTGTGGACTAGGTGCTCTTTGGTCTTTCAGGATTATAATTATTGAGCTTTTTGGAATTAAGTTGAGTGTGCTGCTGGTGCTGATGCATGAATGGATTTTCAAGAAACAAATTTAAATGTCTGATGGTGAATAGGAGTGCAGGAGAGAGAGTTGATATGAAGAGGCTAGTATTGAAATGCTTGCATGATGTGGAAGTTGATTGACTGACCTACCGTCATCTAAGCAGAGTGGATTCTGATTTAGAAATCCAGTATTCGACACAATTGCCTTAACTTTGGATGCATAGTGGCTTTTAGCATAAAATGTCACATGCAAACTAATGCATATTGCCATATTCCGGGTGATTAGTTCAATTCAATATTGTGAGTAGGAGATTAGATAAAATAAAGGTTGTTTGATTCAGTATTATCCTTGCTTGATTTATCTTGCTAGGACCTAGGAACAGAATGGTTCTCAAGGCAGAAGCTATTCTTGGATGTCAAACGTGCCAGGTGAACATTTTCTTGATTTCTGAGTAGAATTATTAACATAGGATGAGTTTGGGGAACTTGCCTACCTAAACATTACAGTCAGTTTGGCTTCAGAAATCTTAAGATTTAAGATTTGATATTCTAAAGATTTATTGGACCACAATGACTTCTTTGTTGTTTTGGAACCAACACTTTAATTCGTGCCTTCCAAAAAAGATGCCTTCTGTCTAATTAAGCTATCATGTGCCATCAAATCAAGAATAGCATCAGATTTCTGAAATTGGCTCCTTTGAATTTGGGGAATATGCTGCTTTGCAGCTGCTTAAAAAGTTTGACCCATGTATGCCAACATGCACCATCAATTATTGTGCTTGCTTTTTGTTTATGTCATATTGTCATCGGCATCCAGGGTGTAATCTTCTGAGAGCACACGCCATCACAGTAGAACATGTTAAAGTAAGCTTTTGTATCTGTAGAAAACATACTCAGGTGTTCTCCAACTCTTTTATACATTTTTACAGGTAGTTGACTAGCCAGCCTGATTTGCAATAACATCTGCGTTCCACCAGCTTCTGATGCCTGCAGCTTCATGACTTTCCAAACAACAAAATTTTGAAGAGAGCACCAGGGTAGAGATTGCCATATGTGCCCCATAAATCCGAAATTGGTTTCTAAGAACCTTTGACCAAGGTAAGCTAACTTGCTAGTTTCTGAGTCCCAGAACCTGTTCTATCCATCTGACTCTTACTGTTGTGACAATAAATTAATAAATGCCAGCATTCTTTTGGCTACTTCATTGCCTTTATGGCTTTATCCTGAATTATACCTGCACATCTTCATCTTTTGCATACATTGGCTAGGCCAAACATTAATCTTTGATGTCCCTGCCCAAGAGATTCTTAAAATCTAGATCCACATCATCCATTCCCACACCAGTAATTGAAGGATTATTCGGTTGTCCGGTAGAATCCCCACTACTTCCTTCATAGTTGAAGGTCCTCACATTAGGCCCATTGTTGCATCTTCCCAAGCACTTGCATCCAACAACATCAACATCTGCACCAAGCTTCCTCAAGATTTTCTGATTCAGCTCCTCCTAGTTTCCTGTCCTTCCCACCCATGCATACTTCAATCGTCTTGGTTGTTGGCCCCTCCACAATAGTCTCAATCTCATCGTCTTTGCAGCCATTTGAACAGCTCAATTCACCGTCACTGGAACCCGAGTTCTCTCGTTGCATCACTGATTTGGCTGATGCTGCTGCTTCTTGTGAATGTGTCATAGCCCTACTTCTGAACCAATTCTTGTTGGATTCCTCCTTGCGTTCACTGTCACTTGACTCAAAGGAAGATGAAGAGCTTGACGATGATTCGAAGTCCCCTATTACCTTGGATTTATCCAAGGTGTCCTTTTTCTCTTTCAACTTCCTCTTCAACCCTTCTTGCTGTCTTTAACTGATGCATTTGTGCCAGCAAAACTCAAGTTCCTTCCTGCATGAATAAAAACTAGAGTCATCGAAAATTCACACTACAAACACAGTACTTTAGTCACACTGACTTCACGTGAATTTCATCTGACAAACTATGTTCTTTTTTTCTTTTCTTTTTTTGAGAAGGTAATGGTTAGGTAATTAGTTTGAATTAATTATTAGTAATTAGGGATTCGATCCCTAGAACGGGTAAACATTTTATCCCCTCATATGAGGCGTGCGGTCATCTGATCGCATTTGGTGGAGCTCACGACAGTAGTAAAACTCGAAACTCCGACCACCTTCACCTAAGTACTTAAGGTTTGAGGTCGAATCATTGCGTTTAAAGGCCCGATTCCTGACAAACTATGTTCAATTCTCACCGACCCCTACCTTATCTCCATCCCCTTCCTCCTAGATATAACAAATTACCTATGTTAAAAAAATAAAATAAAATAATAATAGTCATCAGATTCATGAAGACAGATGAAAATTCCATTTTTCTCCTTCCGGAATCAGAAAATTAGCAACTCAGTCGCCAACATAAATTTCTAGACCTCATCAAAACTCTAGTGTAACAAATTCCCACATTAGAGCCACCGGAAAACCGACCACCTGCATCACCTCTGCCTCTGCTGCGATGTAACGGCAGAACTGCTGTCCTAAAGGCAATGGCAGCGGCGGTTAATTCCATGGCGAATGAATTGGAAGCTGTGCAATTCCAGGGATCCGGGGTCGTTGCTGCAACTCTGCTGCTCCTGCAATGGTTCGGGAGTAGTCCGAAGGGAAATGAAGAAGCTTTTATGGATACACGTGGAAGAGTAATGCTGACGTGGCAGCCTGGTGTTGTTTGGAGCTGGCTCGCTGGTTAACATTTCGGTTGCCACTTTCCACGCTTCGTCCGGGGCGTACTTTCGCGTTGAATATCGCCGTCCGATAATTTACCGCCAAAAACAACGGTTCTGATTGGCGCCACGTAGAGCCACGTGTCAGATGTTAAAAAATTAGATCCAACACGAATTGGGCTGGTTCGTGGCCCAGTATAGTCCAAGCCCAAAAATCACATGGTCTCAGCACCACGGAATGTATATTTTCGTATCCGCTTACACTTCGCCACGTGGTAAAAATTCCAAAGCAGACGTTATCATTGGTGGAGGTGCACTCATACGATACACCTGAGACACACCAGACCCGTAAAAATTCCGGCAACTCAACGTCGAACCAGAGTAGGGCCGAGAGCGAAAACAGTTATCGATTATGTAAGGAAACCCTAAATTTGAAGGTCTAGAGGTTTAGATTGTCTGATTCCGAGCTCGGAGTTAAGATGGATGAAGAATTATCGCATTCGCATTCAATCAGGTTGATGAATTTCGTCTCCGAGCAACAGGTAATTTTAGTAATTAGTTCACCCCCTTTTTCTTAATAAACCCCAAAAATTTTCCAATATGAAGTTTCAGATTTTAATTTTTTTACTCAATATGATTAGTCCATCTCTGTGTTCCCTTTATTTATTTATTTATTTTTGGTGGTTTGATCATTGGCAGTTGGATGAAGCAAAGAGAACATTGCTATTTTTTTAATAAAGTTTTGGGATTAAGTAGACTTTTATTGCAAATTTGTAGAATGGAAGGCTTGAAATTGTTGAATTGATCAATG